GAATAGTATTTATGTGTGTGCTTTTGGGTACGGATTAGCCTCTTAAAATACATAATTCCAATAATTATCAGTGACAGAAGGGATGAATACATTATGCTTTAAGTGCAAGAAAATTAACAGTAAAAAAATGGTTTGCATGTGCCTATATTAAATTTAATATTCTATACAACAGGTATCCTGAAAGACTCCCAATGCGTTATTAATCCTGAACTATGCCACTGCCTGCTTTGGGACAAGGAATAAAATAGAATTTAAATGCTGCAGATGTCATGATGTTTTGAAAAGCTTCTTTAATTTAAGCACAGAGTTATGATGTGAATTGTAAATTGTAACAGCTGGGATGAGTAAAATATCAATGCCGTGTTCATTCTTTAAACCAGGATGCAAAGATTAAGCTTCAGGTCTTGTTCACAAAATTAAAGCCAAAACCAGCATCCTCTCTCCTTGCTGAGAGCTTGGCATTGAGGCTGCTAAGTGATGGGAGGCTGTTTTCTTTAAACGAAGAATCTTACAGAAGAATTCACTTGGAAATACTGAGAAAGGGTGGATATGTCCCCATCTTATTTTTACTTTTGAAGGCCAGCAGGGGCCTGAAGACCATAGCACTTAATCTTAATTCATGAGTCTGTGCTCTGATTTACCATGGTGTATGCCATCAAAAGAAGGTTCCATTTATTTACAATATTTGATGGAAGGGGAAAATAATGCTGATTTTAAAAAAAGTGCTTTGAATATTGTAATATATTTCTGGGGACAAGTTTATTATGCTTTTGTTTTAGTCTGGATTTAGTAACCTATTTATGTGAATAAAACTTGCAAGGAGACTGAAATGATAGACACAAGCCATTATTCTCTTTCTACTCTTTAGAGTACTGGATGTGATTTCTGTGCCATGATATTCATATTCATGGGCAGCAAACGGTTGGAGAGGGCAGGAGGAATTTTCTACCCCATAAGCTCTTCCAATAAACATAGACCAAATAATTACTAAGGTACTATTTATCTGGACACATGCCTGAGCACTTACTTATTAAAAGTTCCCAAGCTGCATTCACCCCTGAGCATGAGCATCCCTCACATACACATTTATCCTGACAGGCAACTAAGTACAGAACATGGGGTAAGTTCCTTGGATGCAGCTAAGACTTAGCTCAGCAGAATCCCAGATTTAACTCTCTGCTACATACTTATTTGAAGCATCTCCAGAAATGCGCTTGTGTACTTGTCAGTTAACGATAAAAAATTTCCAGGTAACAGTAGAAGGGTAAATGAAGGGGGAAAGTGGAAATATGAGGGCTGTCCTACATCTTTTTCCTCAATACTGTTCATCTGTCCTCTTAACCATTTACTCCATTCACACCTGCCTTGCCTCGTGGTAGTACGTGCATGAATGTGCACATATGTATGTGTGTGTTTCTGAACTAGGATCATGAAATTTCGTCAGCTCTGGAAACATACACATGAAGGGAATTAAATTCTGCGATGCCTCCTATGCTGTTAGTTCTGTGAACTTGTGCTTTGTAGTTTTTCAGAAAAATTTGTATTGCCATTAAGAAGGCTTCATCTACGAACTCCTGAAAAACGTTTCTTAGAGCATGTCTTGTGAATTCAGACCATAAAATAAAAAGGGTGCTTGTGTGTAAAGGCATAACCTGGATATGAAGACAAATTTTATATTTTCCTTTTCTTTGATCACTGCTCTAGCTGCTCTTTTTCTCTAGACCACCCTCCTGTTCAAACGTACTTCTTGCTGTCACATCTCTCTAAAACATCCTTTTAAAAGCTGCTGTCTCAACGCTAAGAATATGCTATTTGAGGACATCTCGTGTGGTTTTCTGATGCTCAGACAAAAGAGAAGGGAAACAACCACTTTACTAATAATACAGGAGAGTGATGATTCTTACACTGCACTTATTTCTGGCGAGAAAGAAAAGAAAAACCCTAGGAGGGCCAAATAATTCCCAATATAAAAATGATGTTTACAAATATAGTCTTGCCTTGGCAGAGCAGAAAGCCAACTTTGGTTGGAATATGTCCTGCAAACATGGCATTACCAAGGCAGCTTATAGCACCGATCGAGTCAGGTCTGGAGCATAGGATGACAGCCAATGAACTGTGCCTGAAGTAGAAAAGCTTTGAGAAACATCAGTGGTCCTGGTGCGGAAAAGACAGATCTGTTTTTTCTCACATTACAGCCTGTGCTTCTCTATTTACAGTGACCTGAAATGGCAGGAGTGCTGTGGTGGGCTAATAAAGCCCTTGGTAGGACTGTTTCTTGAATGCATTTGTCTTTGCCTTTTTTTGTAAGTGGCACATATTTAAAAAAAACACACATTTAATAATAAAAAAATAATAACCTTAGCAGACTGTTGCAGGTAATGTGGTATAAACTCATTGTTAACAAGAAGAACAAAATTACTGTGCTGGAAGACTGGGTCCTGAAGGCTGTGTTTGGCACTGTTCCATCATCACTATGTGATCTTCCTCTTGATGACAGTGAGCTCTTTCTGAAGTTCACTGAACTTGGGGCGGTTTTCAGGTTTATAATCCCAACACCTCATCATAATTTTAAAGATATCCTCCGGACAATTCTGTGGGGCTGACATTCGGTATCCTGAAGACCCAAGAGAAGAACAGGGAATTTAGAATGGAGATAAGATGTAAATGTCAATGCAGGTTTGCAGTTTGTAAATTTAGTACCGTATGTTGTAGGTGTAATAAAAACAAAAAACCCGTTTCAGGGCAAACGGATTTTTTGTTTTCTATAGGTGGGGCAGAATTCTATATTACAGAGCCATAGAATTACCTCCTAGTTCAAGGAACCCACTTTTTGTTTGTTCGTTTTGTCACAAAGTCTAATGTGAGATACATCACATACAAATACATAGTTTAAGTATTTGCTTTTAGAATCTGCTTTTAGGTGCTGTGTGTGGAATTTTAAAAAAATCGTCTCTCCAGGTTTTTGAAGATTAAGAGAGGATGAGGATTTAATAAACACTAATCCAAAGTGAAATAAAAATGAATACGAATTATATTCCTTTACAGTCCAAAGAGAATCTTTAATTCAAAGTTGGCTGGCGGTGTCCCAGTAGTGTGCTGGGTTGGGTGCCCGTGCATGTTTGCCTCAGGATGTCAGATGTCTGCGAGAAGCAGGAAAAGGTAGGAAGGAAGCTAGAAAGTCATCCTCTTACAACCAGTTCCACAACCACATCCCTCTTGAGCAGCCTGACACTAAGGCATTGACATTTTGTCAAAAGCATTCTTTCTGATGAAAGCTGTGGACTGCACAAGTGCGTGCTAGGGTGTCACCATCACCTACTTACTTATTCCTATCTCTGATTTGGGAACCATAGTGTTTCTTCAGAAGTATTACAGAATTCTCAAAAACTTCTTCCTAAAGTCTAACTACATTTCGATTTGCAGTAATATTAATGGTGTTTATCTGGCATAAAATAAAAAAAATAGGAGCTTGAGGAACACTATCCTATTTCACATGAAGAGAGTTGACTGGCATCACCTTGCAGATGGCACACCAGGCAGGGGGAGTAGAAGAAAAGCCTGGAGCTCTCTATTTTTAAAGTGTTGCAATTTTCAAAAGACTTCTGTTTGTTGCTTTTTGTTGTATAAGACCCACATGATCCACAGAGTTCAGAAATGGATTCATAAACACCTCTGCTCTCCCTTTACATACCTAAACAGTATGTACCACCCTCTCCTTCCCCAGGAAAACCACAGCGCTGGCCCTTGCAGCCGGGTATGAATATTACTACTCCGTGTCTTTGGCTTACCTCTTTCCACTTGCTCACGTGCTTGCTGATTTGTCATTCCAGGGTATGGACAGACACCTAAGCTGAAGGTCTCCCACAGGAGGATGCCAAAGCTCCACACGTCACTCTCTGAACTATATCTCCCTAGAGGGCAAACAAAACCATAACCAGGTGAGTGGATAGATAGGTAACCATTTCTGGGTATGTATGTCTAGGTTAGTCACATACTAACATATTTAAACTTACCAAAGGAACTCAATTACTAGTGAACCTATTGTTTTCACTAGTTTTACTTTCCCGGACTAGTAATATTACCAAATAAATGAACAGTCTTCAGGCTGCTAGTTTAACTAAATGAGCTTCCAAATCACTTTTTCCCTATCAAGAACAAATATTCAGCCAGCATGCAAGCTTACTTTCTCTGTGGTATCTAAATGAGATGGATGATTTATATAAAACATATATAAATTTGTACACATCAATGCCTAGGAGATTGAATAAGTTGGATTTCTGCAATTTTGCCTTCTGCCTGCATCATTATCATTCCGCTAAAATTACAAACAAACTTAAAGCAATAAGGAAAGTTTCTTAACTTTAATTTTTTACTCATCACTGTTTACAGATATTCTTACTTGCTTAAAGGTCTCATTTTCTCCACTGATCATTTCATTTACTGAAAATATATTTTTGTGTGTTTTGAATAGAGTAGAAATTAACATAGCGGGCTGATAAAAACAACTCCTTTAAATTACATGGTGCCTTGTTTTGTCAAAATATCCTGGTGCACCTGTTTTACTATGCAACATAAGCTAAGTTCTTAGAATTTTTTTTTTTTTTTTTTTGGTAGTCTTCTAGAGAAGCAGAGTAAAAACCAGCACAAGATACCTTCTGGACATGGATGTGAAATCAAGGAGGCAAAATAGAAAAATTTTTTCCAGTCTCCAAGAGGTAAGAATTTCCAAGATTTTTCCAACGGATTTGTATTTTTATTTTATATATAGGGCATAATTAATCATAATTAAATCCCATTTGCAGTGGTGTTAAAGGATTCTTAAATGATTTCATTTCTATCTTCCTTGTAGCTACACCCCATAACTCTGCCTTCTCCAGGATTTATAAATAACTCCCTCTCAAATCATCTTGTTACTTTAAAGTAGGATGGTGTTTTCACTTTCTTAAAAAAAGTAAAGTGAGAATGAGAGTATGCCTATGCTATGATAACTGCTCTGACGTTACAGTTTAGAGTGTACTTACTGATTATCATCTCCAGCTGTGAAAATTAGCTTCCTTCTTAGTATACAGTAATTATGGACATTCATTATGATATTTGGTAGGGAGATTAGTTTTATTGTCTGCATATCAACTCTATCTTGTTTGGCATCTAATGATTTAATACTTTTCATGAAAATCATTCAATGGCTACAGTTAAGACTAATTTCGTAAGAAAATACAAGGGATACAGAGTCAGATACCTTCTTTTTATAAGATAATATCTGGGCAGATATCAAGAAAGGCATGTTGTATATAAACCAACATTCCATAAATAAAAGCTTTTAACTCCATAACTTTGACTTTTGAACCTGGTTTCGATAATTTTTAAAAATTTTATTATTAGTTTCAAGTATACAGTATATTGGTTAGACATTTATATAGATTATAAAATGATCCCCCTGACAGCTTTCTCTCCTCTGGCTCTCCACCTAGCCATTACATTAATGCTGACTGCATTCCCTATGCCATGTTCCCCATCCCAGGGACCGACTATCAATTACTAATTTGTACTTCTTTAACTCTTTAACCCATTCTCCCAGCCTCTCAATTGCCCTTCCCTCTGGTCGTCACAGATTGTCCTCTATATTTGACTCCATTTTTAATTAGTTTGTTCTTTTTGCTCCTTGGATTCCACATATAAGTGAAATCATATGGTATTTATCTCTCTTTGTCTGACTTATTTCACTCAGCATAATAACCTCTAGGTCCATCCATTTTGTTGCAAATGGTAGGATTTCATTTTTTTTTAAATGGCCGAGTAATATTCCATTGTATATGTGAACCATAACTTTTTTTTCCA